GGCTCGCGGGAGGGAGGGATTTATCCTCCCTAAAATAAAGATTTTATGAATTTCTGAAAAGAGAGAAAGTATCCGTCCAGCAATTTATCCGTTACGACGTTCGCAAATAATACTTTTATCGATATCGCCACTTTTACTTGTAACTCTTCATTACTCGCGTGGGATGTTTGGCAAAACACCCCAGCCTTGTCATTCGCCAAACGTATATAAATGCTATTTATACACATTATTATATTCAGCGTAAATTTTAATTAGGTATGTTACGATAAAAAATATAAAAGAGGGACAAATGACAGAAGATTCAGATATCTGAGGAAGGAAAATCTATATATAGTGAGGAGAGAGGATAAAGAGTTAGAGCAACGGTGAAATTAAGGTGTGGAGGAAGCAAATAAACACTGGTTGGTGGAGAGCCATTGGAAGTGTATTATTCTGAGAAGGGATTGCGTGTATAGAGCATTATGTAAGGGAATTTCAGGAAGTAAGGGATCGATTTGTAGAATTAAGAGAGGATATAAAATTATATATAAAGAGGATGAAGAGGGAGAAAGATTTAGGTAGAACAAAAGGCAAAATATTAGGGAAATTACGAAAGATAGATTCTTAATGAGTTAAGAAAGAGGAAAGAGAGGAGGGAAAAAGAAGACGAACGGGAAGAAAGTATTTAGCATAAGGAACAGAAAAGAAAAGAGGTAGGAATGTGAAAGAGATGAGAAGACGGACGTGTGTGTGTTGTGGTAAGAATAGGTAAATGGAAGTGTAATAGAGAAAAGGATTGTACACATAAGGTTGGGATAGTTTGAATACCAAATGCGTGGAAGGAATAAATACAAAGAAAGTTTAGGTATAACTTAGTGCAGTACGTAGACAAAAGACTGGATGGATGTGTGAAGTAGTAAAATTTTGTAAACCAAGTCCCCTTCTTAGTTTATGTATGCTGAAGTGTATGACATTAATTCTGTTCTATAAATACTTTCTAAAAATCTTACAATGTATGTAAGAATTACTTAATAATCTTTGTATACTTGTAAAAGTAATGAAAATTAATTTGGGACACAAACGACTCATTGTGTATAGTAAAGAATATCATCGCGTGTACTAATTAGGATTAATTATAAATTATAGAAAAGAACGATATAAAAATTGAGATATGACGTTGGGATGTTAGAATAATACACAAGTAATTACGTTTAAAAAAAAACCATACAAATAATGTAGAGTTAATATTGCTCCTGATTCTTCCAGTGTTCATTAATTTTCGCAAAGTTTGTGCAATAGAGAAATATCAGGCATCGAGTGATTAAAAAGACATCTGATTACTCTAAGGATACAATCCGTTTTTTTTTTTTCTTATTTCGAAGACTTTATGGTCGTTACGATTTCATCACAAAATTCCGTCAGGAAGTGACGGTACGATTATGGTAAAGTTTTTGCCTGTCCACGGACGGCACATCGTCATTCGTGATCTCCGCTCCGAAACGGTGTTTACAAAGTGCACGGTAATCAGAAATTCATGGCTTCCTTCTTTTCATTCATAGGCAGCGCAATCATTTTCCCTCGCGAAGCTGATTATTCAGTAAGTTCTCCTTGACCGTCCCGATTGTTCTCCGTGCACACTCTCGCGTGCTGCAAGGTCGAAAATGCTAACAATGGACACACGTTAACAACGTGCACTTACACACGTGCGTCGTGAAATAATAAAAATATTTCCTACTTGGTAAATTAATTCTCTGTCACTCTTGTCAGTTTGGAGAATCTATATGTATTTTGCGCGGATAGCACAGTTTACGAGCGTGCGATGATTATTATCTCTGAATCGTACTTGAAGCACATAGAATTTATTTTCTAATCATTGTATCAATCATATATATACACACACGTATTGCATTTGACGCTTTTACCGCTTAAAATCATAAACGAATTTAATCCTGCTGGTCTGTTCGAATTTATTACGATTATGAGTACTTTCCATTTAGAAACACAAGTCGACACAAGTAACGTTCATCTTTATTATTTACTGAATATAAAAAAAAAAACATAATGATGTGTCAATCTATGTTGTTAAATGGGAAGCACACATATCGTTTGGTTCGACATAATTAAAGTAAAAAGCTCTAAAAAAATAAAAAGAATTTTTAGAAAAAAGGTTTACATTAACGGACGAAGTCATGAAATACCAGAGAAAAGTTTTTAAGTAAAATATTAATAAGAAAATGGATTACATCTTGAGTTAAATAAAGTGAAACAATTCAATATACGAGTATATAGTTAAATAAGTTATAAGAGCGCAATTATAAGCAGCACAAATATGGTAAAAATGTTGCTGGAGCTAGTTTCCATCGCTATTGAGCACATAACATTGATACACCGGCAGTAATCATCATTTGCACGGGAATGTGCGTGTGTGTCGCGTGTGACAAACGCGCAGTACATAGCACACCGATGGACTGCAACTGTTTATGTGTGCGATCCGTATGTCCGGTGCCCTTGCACGCGCAGGTGAATGCTTGGAGAACGCATATATATCGTCTCTCTGGCAATTTATAGATAATTTCCTGTCATTTTTCTTATGCACTTTGACGTATGTTAAAAAAGACCATTGTCACGATCTATCATTTTATACATTTGTTACTTTTTTCAGTTATTTAATTTTGAATTTCGTTTAATTTTGCGCATGTTTTTAATTACTGTCAGTAGCATTTAAATATTATTTTATCGGGACAAGAGTAGAATAAAAAAAAAAAAGAGTAATAGATTAAAAAAAAAAAAATAGTAGCTATCGGGTTCGGGCATTGACGATTTCTATGTTATCATTGCGAGCATAGTATCAATGACGGACTTTTGGTGAAACCAATTCCGTCGAAGCGGTACCAGATGCCAGCAGAGTCTATATGCGATCCGTGCTGCACTCTGCAGGAACTTACTCTAACGTGATTTACCGAAAGATCTTTTATTTCGAAATCAATTTAATTTTTATACATCAGCTCGACGAGACTATTGAAAAAAAACATGCAGAGAATTCGTAAGATTTATACATATAGAAAATAACGACTTTTCTCACGCTTTTTTTCGTATAGAAATTCTTGAAACAATTTATAGTAAGCTTTCATAATTTAACAAAAATCTTGAGGTACAATTAAAAAATTAAAAAATTATTATATAAGAAAATGCATTTTAGAATTACGTAAAATATACGCGGAAAAAATATTTTATATACAATTATATATAATTTTATATGTAAGTTTATATATAATTTTATATAATTATATATAAAATGATTTTTCCCGAGTATATTTTTTAAATAGAAATATATTTTTTTCTAATAGACTAATATATTCCAAGATCATTTAATTGGAGATTTTTAAATACTAAATTATATTGAAGAGAAAAAGAAATGATTAAAAAACATATTGTTTTCATAAAGCTAAGGAAGAAAATCGTTTTTAAATTTTATAATTTACTAGAAATAAAAAGAATGCATGATAATTTTGAGACACTATATATAAATAAAAAAACCACATACATATCAATAAACACGCGCTTGAAATGATGTATATTTCTTTCTTTTTAGTCAAATGGCACATAATGACTTTGATTGTATTTGCAATATAATATTTAATAAAGCATGTATCTGGCAGCCCTCATAATTGCAACACTATCGATAAGATGATAAGTAGCACCGATCGCGTGATAAGGCATACTTACCTTTCGTTATTGTACTATAATACTACATCGTATAACAGGAAAATCGGCTAGTAACTTAAACATGTACGCTTTCAATTGTATGTAGAATATGCCAATAAAATTCTATAATAAAAAATAAATTTTGATGCTTAAAATGCAAAATATATATTTCTAAAATAAGATACGTGTTCATCATATCAATTATATATCACGCAAAAATATAATTATATTGATAACCAATATCGATGCTTCATATTAAAAGATAATATCGCAGCTAATAATTCGATATCGTCTTGATCAGAAGATTCAAATAGCCGGAAGAGGACTATATTTACAAAGGTATAAGAAAAGAATTCTAAACTGTCACGGTACCAAACATCTGACATGCTACTCTGGTGCCATTTTACGCTGTTTTATTTCTGTTCGCGATAGAAAAAGAGAGAGGAACGAAGAAAATAAAGAAACGCGAATGCTTGTTACAAATAGACATTTTAGCCTACAATATATTTTCCTTCCTGTGGTAATAATGATTTTATGCTACTGAAATTCATTCTAAATATGATTTAATTAAGTGACAGATTAAATCGTTATAATATCTGTTTTATCTGGAACTTTAAGAATCTAAGAATTCAGACTCAGAAGAGAATATAATAATTATTTAGAGAATCACATAAAAATAATTTAATTTGTAGGGATAATTTATTTACTATTCAAACGCACAATATATAATTTATTTCAATGTTTTTCTCGTTGATGTTAGCTCAGCAGACAACGTAAATATTGGCAACGTAAATATTGATTTAAGTGCGCCGATCGTTAATGAACTTGAAATATTTTAGTCGTTAAACAAATACTCGATTCGCCCGTAATTTATATTCGCGAAGAGTTTCATCGCCGTACTTTGATTGTAAGTCCGATTACGAGTCTACGTCAGATAGGTAAGAACGAAGTTCAAGGGGAACCGGTAAAGAGCATATGGCAAATGTGAAATTATTCTAAATTCATAATTTCTTTCCTACGAGGATATCTTTGTTATGAATGTCCATAATAACATTTCAGGATATTTTACGTAATTAGTATTCTATAACGTATAATAAAGTAATGAATCATTTATGTATTGTGTTTTTATATCTAGCTATAAATAGCGATATTTCGATTTAAAAAAATCGAAAAAACGACGATCATTTTCCTTGGATACCATTTTGTTGAAATCAATGAAAATATAAAAAAAAATCGAAAAAACAATGATACTGCGATCAACATCACGAGAATGACGATCGTTTCCCTTGGATACCATTTTGTTGAAATCAATGAAAATTTGACGTGCCGAATTAGAAGTAACATTAAAAAAAAAATGCAGGAAATTTAAAATAATTTAAAATTGTTAAATATACATTTTATAGTTTATCTAATGGATTACGATACGTATTCTTGAAAAGGAAATATAATTAAATATATTCCTATCACGTTCTACGCAACCCAGGTAATATTTCTACGTCTAGACAGATTCTTAGACGCTCATCAAGTCCTCTATAAATATTCTTTTAACAAAATTAATATTTATGCAAATAATAACCTTCTTCCACATCGAGTTTGCATGCGTAATAATTATCAATAATAAAGCTGATCGAGATGACGCAATTATGTACACAAAGTGTGCTAAAAAATATTTGCTAAAATTGGTAGACATGCCCATCAAGCGGACTCCAAAGATCGAGGCCCTAGTTGTAAACGCTATACGTAGGCTGCAAGATGTGCAAGGTTCGACATCACGGGAAATTAGTAACTATATTTCCCAAGAGTACAATGTTCCTAAGGAGGAGATTAAGCGGCAGGTTCAATTCGCTTTACGACGCGGATTATCTTATAAGATTCTTAAGCGTTCAAAGGGGTAAGAATTTTACTCCAAGTTCATCATTAATTATCTATAATTAAGTGATTCCAACAATTTTATTTCTTTCATCACGGTACTTAATTTAAGGCTCGTTATTATGCCAGATTACAAAATTTGCAATGACATTACTTTTAATATTCAGTTAGACAAGTTTAAGACTAAACTTTTTATTCGCGGAAGTTATCTTGGAAATTAAGTGCTACGTTCTGGCTTCTCGAGAATTATGAGAAATTACGAGAGAGGCATCAAGTGTCGCGTAATACATTGGACATATTTACGATGTTGTATTTTCTGCAGTACAAAAACTCGCTTATCAATGCCAATGATAAAGCCGCTGGGTCAAAAATAAAGCGCAATAGATTATGTCACGATTACGAGGGCGATACGTGACCCACTTCATAAAAAAAATATTTTGATTGTGTTACGTACACAATAGTCACTCGATCAAATAACTGTGCGGTGTCACACCCTACGTGGTTGATGTAATGTAACATACGTTGATGAAGGCACTTAATTTCATTCACTTAAAGTCATTAAGAAGATTTTTTAAGCCTGACCTCTGAATACTATGAGTAATTAACCATATATTCTATTTAAGAATATATCTATTTAAGAAGAGAATTCTGCTGCTTGTAGACTATTCGGTACGCGTTTTGCTCGATATGTATACCTATATCTTTTATGACAAAAGTTCTAGGATGTCAAATGCGAAGGCGTACTGTAACAATTTATGATAATTCATTAGATAGTGATTATTATGGTACTAAAACATTCTGACGTTCTTCTTAGAGGATACTATTCGTGCAATCACGACTACCTCAAACAGCTCTCGTTAGAGAATGGCACGGGTGACGGAGTAGTGGAACCTTGTCCATCACAACCATGGCGATTCGGCGTGAGAAAAAAGAAAAGAGAGAAGGCGAGGAGAAGGAAGTATTACAAGGAGAGGCAGGAGAGGTTGAGGAAAGAGAGGGAGAGGAAAAGAAGGGACAGGAGAAAGAAGCAAAGGGACAGAAGTAAAGAGAGGGCGAGAAAAAGGAGACACAGAAATATGATTAGAAATGGAACAATCTGCCGCCGCAGATCACGCACCAGATCGAGGAAGGGCAAACGTACCTCTCGAAAAAGACGTACCTCTCGAAGGAGAAGAACACGAAGCAGAAGAGGTAGAAGAGGGATACCATGCGGTGGAAGATGCGGTAAGTCTAGAGAGATGCAAATGGAGGCGACGTCTCCGGAGTCGCCAAGAAATGACACCGACAGAAAAGAGGATCCTCACAAAAGCGAATCTTCTGCATCCATGCATTCAATCGAACAATACTCACAAAACTCTTCTCAAAATTTTCCGACGTCAAATACGTCCGATATTTTAGAAATCAATAAAAAATGATTTCTTTCAAGAAGAGTGGAAATAATAACCGCATTCAGCAGAACACTTATTTTACAACTGTTTTCTTAGCTGGGAAAAAAATGTACTAAATCTTAATACTTATTTTGTTTAATAGGACTAACTAAATATTTACTTGCAACACATAAATATTTACTCAATAAAAAAATGACAATTACCTCACGTATTAATGATTCAAAAAGAAATATATATGTTTGCATTTAGTAAATATTTAATTAGCTAATTAAACAAATATTTATTAAAATTTAGCATTAGGATTTTTTAATGTAAGAATTAATCCTCTATTTCTAAAATTATAATCCAATCGGCACGAAGGAAACTTCCAACAGCCGTAAAATGTTAAGCATTCTGCTGAATGCGGTCAATGTGTGCATAAATCACACGTGAAGAAATTACTCGCTAGTTTTTTCGATATAAAATATCTCTAGACATTAAAATTTAATTTACAGATATGTAAATTTATATATATATATATATACACACACACACACTCTTACATCTCTACACAAATTTCGAGATTTCATGTATTTATATTGTACTCTTTACTCTTTGTATACGCTGTATTGATTATTACAATTATCTTTCTACACAAGCGTGTTCTTAATTCCTTGTCCGTTTGTACCGTAACAGCGCGAGGGAAAGAAACAGGATCGTGAGATTAATCGAAATTGCGCTGTCCGTCACACAGCGTGAAACCCGAGCCTCCTGAGAAACAGACGCACTAAGAGCGCAGGGATCCGTGGCCATCCGTCGACAGCCCTGAACGCGGCCTTGCCGGCTAATGATAGTCGTGCTAATGACGAGTCTGCACACGCATATGTGCACGTACCGCGTGACTATTTCGCCTAGCAACTCTAGGACTAGACGCAAGACGCGTCGCGACGGTGTGTTTTGCCCCACCGCGCCGCCAGCTGTGAATGATAAGTGCATGCGTATGCGACGCGTATGCAAATTACGTTCCCGAGCTGACGATATTTCAGATAGGTTCTTTCGACAAATCGATCTCCGCTTTCTTAAACAATCACTTTCAGATGTAGGGGTAGCCGATTTAGATTTGATAAATTTATTCCGTAGACGATCATCTTCCCATAATTTTGGCTTTCAATAATTTCGAATGCAATCTCCTACGTCCCTATAATGACGTCATCTCTCTCTCTATATATTCTACTAATTAAATATTGCGTCTATATATTTATGCTTGTGCACTCATCAAATTTAATTCAAATTGTTATTTATCGCAATTCACATGAAGATTATCCTTGAGGGATTATTGAACATTATCATATCAATTCATTGTGCACACCTCGTTCAAAGAAACATACGTTCAGTGATATAAGAACTTTCGTTCAAAAGATAAAAAGCGACCGAAAAACAATTCTTTGCATCGAGAAAAAAATGTACTAAATTTTAGTATTTGTTTGAATAATACTAGCTAAAATATTTCCTAGACATATACATACATTTATTTTTTTACACAAAAATTATTAATTTAACTTTTTTTAAGTAAATATTTATTTATTAAATTATTATTAATTTTTATTTACTAAATTATTAATAAATATTTATTTACTAAATTTACTAATATTTATTTTACTAATATTTACTTACAGTAAATATTAAGTTAGTGCTGTGTCTCTATTCAAACAAATATCTATTTAAAATTTAAAATTTAATACGCTGTCTATAATTATAGAAGATTAATTTGATAAGGCAATCTTTATCTGTAAATAGTCTGCTGTATACTTACATCAACTTCCAACACGGAAGTTCTATTTTGATACTAATACTTCGCATTTCAATATGTACTTACATTTGTATAAATACCTTTTTCTTTATATACTATTGACAGCTAACAGACGATAATGATTAACAGTGAGGATAATTTTTATTATTCCCAGCCGACAGGACCGTTAATAAATGATTTTGCATTCGGATTAGCTCAGCTATTGCTTGCTTATCTATCTATATATGAAAGCTAAATATGTTTTAGAAGAATTATTATTATTGTTGCTAACGAATAGCAACAATGGCTGTGCGTTTAGCAAAAAAAGCAGCTTTGCAACTGTGTTGTAAGATTATTTAATATGATTAATTTATTTAGATCCAGTGGAACTAATAAAATATATTAAAAAATTTTACAACAATTGTAAAGCTACTCTTTTTGATGAACACAGTTATTAACACTGGAATTACCAAGGTCATTATTGAATGTTTCAATTTTTTAGATCAATATTATATTTCTCTTGTAAAAGATAGGATTCTGAATTTTGACTTTTCAATAGTTATATTTTTTTTTACTAATGAAATATTTGATTTTTTATCACTTTCTTTATTTTCAGTAATTTATCTTGATCCTTTCAGTGATCAGTAAGAAACGTTAGTACTTCTAATATTAAACCATTATCACTTGTCTTTCTGATATTTGATATTTGTCATTAATATTTATCATTCTTTTACACTCTCTTTTAAAAAATAGACCTACCAAAGAACATATATCCCGTCGATACAATGAAATAATTAAGTGACATATACTAGCACGATGAAAGTGGTTTATCACGAGACTAATAAAACGTCGCCATCGTGCCGAACGCTAATTAAACATTTACACTTGTGCTTCGACAAGTGTCTGATCAGCGTATAGAGAAGGGGTTCGAAAACCAATATAATTTCAGTTCAAACTTCGATGTTATACATGGTGTCTCAGAAGGAAAGATTAATATTTTAAGAGGTGATAGTATCGATCATTTTAAGCAAAAGTATTCATGTAAACGTACATATCCTATTCCGATTTTCGAAATTGAATGTGCAAAATTAAGAAAGAGATACGTATCTTTTTATAATTTATTAATCAAGTGACGTATTTTGTTGAAGCTTATAATAAATTTTCGAAAATTTCAATGTTCTCAAATTATCTGAAAAACCGTTCAAAATAGGACACATTTATATGAACATTTTTACTTAAAATAATAGATACCGTTACCTCTCAGAATATTGACCTTTTCTCCTGAGACACCCTGTATAAAGCGAAGAATAGTAAACAAGACTTCTAGACTGCAGCATCGAAAATTGAACTAACTGGTTCGGATCACCGGTGAAGTAGTTTGTCGACGAAAACACCATTCGTCTACTTGTCGATCTAATAGCGGTCCCTTCGTTTTCCCTCAAAGAAGCGTATCGAAAGAGGAGGGACGCGGATGGAGAGGCGCAGGAAAAGACAGAAAGAGAGACAGGCCGTCGTCGTTTCGCCGCGAAACCGAAAATACTCATGTCGGCCGGTATGTTGAAACCTGGCATAAGTTCTGGCAGGTTGCCAGAAAAGCGGTACTCGCTTGGAGGCCACGCCAGGCCACGAGCGATCGGTCTCGGCAGCCTGAATTTCTAAGGTAAAAGAGGATCGTTTTGGAAAAAAATCATAGGTCGCTCGAGTACACGAAGAGAACAATTTTGCTGAACAATCTAAATTTTTTGCTGAATATCTGAAAATAATTTTATTGGATCATGAAAATAATTGTGCTGAGACTAAAAAGGTGATAACGCGGAAATTGAGAAACGATGAGCAATGAAAAATTTTGACATTTTGACAACCAGTTCGAGTTCCCAACAAAATTATCTTAATTCTACAATAAAATTGTTTTTCAGATTTGTATCCAGCAAAATTTAGATCTTTCAACAAAATCATTTTTTTCCGTGTAATTAGGGAATATTAATTAATTTCACTAAAATGTTTTATCTTTACAATTAAAGTAGATAATTTAATGCAACAAATATCTCGCTATAATCTTTTATCACTCATCTAAAATTCACATCTTTAACGTGCGCAGCGCGCATATTTACCTGAGACGTAGGAACATTAAGACTTATCTAAATTAATACTCCCGTTGAAACTGGAACACTTTACGTTTCACCGTTGATAAGTTTATTATTCCATGTACCTACAACTTCCTAGTGACATAAACTAAATCGTAAGTCGTGAAAGAATTGAAAAGAAAAGGATGAGCTTATTATTTGCTATATATATATAATTGGGAGATTCTTGTTGAGAATTTCAACTTATAATTACGACACATTTTACAATTAGTCAACCTGTCAGAAAATAACTTTTCCACAGTCTTCTATATCTGCCACCATTAGAAAAATTTTCGGATGAGTACCTCGATGAGAATCGAGCTACTCACGTGCTAACGAGCGAAATCGCACAGTGCTAAACGCTTGTCAAGTCTCGCAGATATCGCGAGGGACCTTGAAGTTAGAGATGCATAAGACTCGACAAATAATCTCTCCAATTGGTCTATGGGTAATAATAGTGGAACATAAGAAATAATAATTTGGGAATAATTGTTTGACTGTTATACGATATCATTGCCGCTCTACCTTGGCAAAAAATTACTGGATTTAGAAGAATGGATAGGAAATTATTCTGCAAAGCTGAATTCAGTTGTTTGAACGGCAAAGAGTAGTGATAGCGAGCGATTGTTTTGTCTAATGTACTATAAAACAAAATTCATCATTACACGCAATGTGCTTTAAGTCTAAAGGATGGAATTAATTTTGTTATAATAAAATAATTAGAATAACGAAAAGTATAAGAATTCTTCCGGCTAATTGCAATCGCGAAGAGAGACACTGGAGATTAGTATCTCGATAAAATGAATTTCTGTCTACTTGTTTTAATTCAGCAGATTAAATTTTTACGAAGTAATTAACCTTTACCTTGATTTCCGTACGTTCGAACGATTTAAACGGCATCGAAAACCGACTGTCGGCAAATGACAGATGTTAGAGCCAACTTGGAACTAGGCAGCATCTGGTGCACCATAAAGTTGGCACTGTTATAACTATTGTGCATTACTCGAAAAAACGATTGCGGAAGTACAAGCGTTGGGCGAGCCAATTATTTCTTGTTCTATCATATTAATAAAACCGAAAATGATCTCGCGCGACACGACGACCAGTTTCGCCAAAGCCTATATATGTATACCTAAAAAATAGATACCTCTCGTCAAAATGACCAAAATCGTTATCAGATAACGATATTTTTAATAGATTATTAAAAAGAATTTTGTGGAAATATAAACGAAAATTTTATCATATGTAGGAATAATAATAACTACTCGTATAA